AGTTCAACCAAAAGCTTAGACAACCAAAAACTTAGACAACCAAAAACTTAGTCAACCAAAAACTTAGACAACCAAAAACTTAGTCAACCAAAAACTTAGTCAACCAAAAACTTAGACAACCAAAAACTTAGTCAACCAAAAACCTAGACAACCAAAAACTTAGTCAACCAAAAACTTAGACAATCAAAAACTTAGTCAACCAAAACTTAAACCAAAAACTTAGACAACCAAAAACTTAGTCAACCAAAAACTTAGTCAACCAAAAACTTAGACAACCAAAAACTTAGTCAACCAAAAACTTAGTCAACCAAAAACTTAGACAACCAAAAACTTAGTCAACCAAAACTTAAACCAAAAACTTAGACAACCAAAAACTTAGTCAACCAAAAACTTAGTCAACCAAAAACTTAGACAACCAAAAACTTAGTCAACCAAAAACTTAGTCAACCAAAAACTTAGACAACCAAAAACTTAGTCAACCAAAAACTTAGTCAACCAAAAACTTAGACAACCAAAAACTTAGTCAACCAAAAACTTCAACAACCAAAAACTTAGTCAACCAAAAACTTAAACCAAAAACTTAGACAACCAAAATCTTAGTCAACCAAAAACTTAGTCAACCACAAACTTAGTCAACCAAAAACTTAGACAATCAAAAACTTAGACAACCAAAAACTTAGACAACCAAAAACTTAGACAACCAAAAACCTACACAACCAAAAACTTAGTCAACCAAAAACTTAGACAACCAAAAACTTAGACAACAAAAAACTTAGACAATCAAAAACTTAGACAACCAAAAACTTAGACAACCAAAAACTTAGTCAACCAAAAACTTAGACAACCAAAAACTTAGACAATCAAAAACTTAGACAACCAAAAACTTAGACAATCAAAAACTTAGTCAACCAAAAACTTAGTCAACCAAAAACTTAGACAACCAAAAACTTAGACAACCAAAAACTTAGACAACCAAAAACCTAGACAGTTCTAAAACTTAGACAATCAAAAACTTAGACAATCAACCAAAAGTTTGAGTTTCGACCAAAAGTTTCAGTTTTGCAAAAATTTATTGAAATTGCTTTTTTGTTTGTTTGTTTGGTTGAAATTGGGTTTTTTTGTTGTTTTTTTTGGTTGAAACTTTTTTTTTGATTGAATTTATTTTTTGTTTGGTTGAAAAAAAATTTTGATTGAATTTTTTTTTTGATTGAAGATGCTTTTTGTTTGATTGAATAATAAAGAAACAAAGTTACCTCCATAAACACCATGCTGTATGTTTGGTTTGAACACACAGAGTGTTAAACAGTTAAAATGGTTATGATAATCTTAGCTGTTTTGTGTTTGGTTGTTCTGTCTGCTTTTAATGTCATTTTCCACAGTGGTCACCACAGGGTGTGTTACATCGCTGACTCGTACCTCCATCTGCTGGTGACCCTGTCCTCGTACAACCATCTGGTCTCTGAAATCATCTCTATATTCTCTATCTACCAGACTGCATTTATATGAGCTGAAATGTGAATTTAAGCATGTAAAATACACAATACAGTATTTGCTTATAAAATGTTAATATTTGCAGATTAACTTGTGTCTTTTTTGTTTTTTCCGACGTCTCAGACAAATAATTCTGACTTTAACGGTTTTGTTTCATTTTAATCCTCTGAGCATGAAACTACTGTAGATGAAAATGTAAAATATAACTGACTGCAACTGATTGTTTTTGACAGAAGATATTTTCAAATGTGACAATAAAAAAGCATGTTAGAATAATAACGCCTCATACACAGCTCAAAAGTGAACATTATATATAAAACATTATTATATAGAGGTGAGAAGTTTCGCTCTTGTTTCAGGTTTTGTTTCCTGTGTTTTCTGGTGCAAAGGTTTCCTTTTCTAAACTCTAGATGTTTTTCTGTCCAAGACCTGATCATTTTAAAGGGATCCATGATTAGTTGTAACATTAGACTTTATTTAATAAACACATATTTTAACTGTAAAAATAAAGACTGCTCCTTTTCATGCAATGCATACTATTGTGATTCGTTTCCCATCCAAGTCATCTCCACTTTGCCACGCTTCTCCTCCTGCATACTTTGTCCTACAGCTGCCATTGTAATTTATATCTGTAAAGGTCCTGTGCCAAATGATTGCTATGCCTTTTGGTACCTGTACAACTTGTAGTTTTTGAAATATTAATGTTGAAACTTTATTCCATATTCATTTAATGTGAGTCAATGGGGCCTTGTAATGGTCCAATACTGCCCTCAGCTGTACTCAACTTGGTACTGCACCATAGTTTTTTTATATTTAATCTCAATAGTTCAGTGTTTACAATACTAATANGTTTCAAACTGAGCCCTATCTGGCAGCCCTGCACACAGAGAGCAGCAGTGATGCTCTGATCTGCTCCACATCAACAGTGTAAAAGAGGTCCTGTCCATTCATGCATACTAACACAGCAGGTGCACCCTGCTCTGATATTAACCTCCAACCATCTCCGTCCATCAGCAGACTTCACCTGGTGTCAGCGGCTGTGAACACAGTCTGCACCTGGCTGCTGGGACAGGTGTTACAGGGGCTGACCTGAGGACTGCTGCTTCCATGCAGTGTGAGGAGAAAGTCTAATGACTCCTGGACCTGGTCTTTGAGCCACACAGACTCTCCTTTCATTAGGAGGAACGGTTTCTGCTCTGGGGTGGGGGCAGACCCATGCCACAGTGTCGTTCACCCTGATTATTAATTTAAATGGTCACCAGTCAAAATAAAGCACTTACACCTCCAGGATCCTGTCCCCCTTGGAGATGCCGGCTCTGTCGGCAGCTCCCCCCGGGAGCACGGCGCTGACGTGCTGCAGCGGGGCGTACAGCTCCCCGTTGATGCTCCGCAGCTGGCCCCCTTCGCTGACCTGTCCCCGAACATTGAAGCCGTAGCCCGAATCCGACTTCACTATCCGGACTAGCCTCGGGCCTGAAGTAACGGTGGTCGGCGTCTGCCAGCCACCGCCGCCGGTGTCTGGAGTGCCGCTCCCGGAGCCGTTCCGGGAGGAAGGACGAGGCAACGGTGGGGCCGTGGAGCTGACCTCTTGTCCCGTAACGTCCGCCATCTTCCTATGCTGCTTCTACCATCCAGTCCCGAGCGGCTAACATTGAATTTCCTACAAACATTAGCCGTGGTAGCTAGCTAATCAACTCGGCTAGTAGCTAAATGACCGGGGGTCCGCCGGAAACAGCCGAGAGCTTCCGATGGTTGTCGAGCCTGGCCGGGACGCGTTCCATGTCGATGAATTCTGACTAAACCTAACGAGTTGAACCCAGATTTAAACTGTAAAATAAACAAGAACCAGGGATTATAAACGGGCAGAAAGTTTTCTTTTCCCCAGCGGAACTTTATTTTTTTGTAGTTAAATTACTTCTATAAACTTTATTTTAAGAGCCATTTATAGCTCTAATAAAAAATAAGCCAAGAGATAAGTACTGCTACAAATTTGATTTTCATAACTTAAATACTATTTTAGTAGTAGTAGTAGTAGTAGTAGTAGTAGTAGTAGTAGTAGTACTTTATTCATTTAATTTGTAACACAGATTTACAAAGTACAGAAAAACATGCAATCAAAATAAAATCAAATAAAATGAAAGGCAGCAG